AAACATTTATTTCTAAACAGATAACAAATTATCAAATAGATAAATTATCTACAATTCCAAAGGTGAGTGATTAATCAATCAAACTCCACTATTAAATCTCATAATTACCCAATTTCATTATTTCCAACTCAATTTCATATTCTCATAACTTTTCCAAATTAATTATACCAATTAATTCATAACAATAAATTAGGGCTTTTCTCCCATTTTTCTCAACATTGACCCAAAGGTTCAAATATCATCAATAACATCAATAACCTCATTTTAAGACCCAAAATGCACATGCATGGGTTAAAAGAACAAAACCCTTTTTTATACATTTTGAAACCCTAACATCCAAAATTACCCAACTTCAACATTAAATCAAACGACCACATGTTTATGTCAAAGACCATAAACATGAGTAGTTATCCCTACCTCAAATCTCGGAGCTCAATGGAGAAGATGAAGAAATTCGAAGGTGCTCCAAACCCAAAGATTTTCGGATCAAAGTGTAGCCCACACCAAGCTCCACACTTTTTACAAAGGGACTAGGGTAGAAGATCACTAACACTAGATGATTTCTTAGAGACAAGATGAAGTCTAGAGTGAAAGGCTTTCAAGTTTGGGTTTTGAAAAGCTAGAGACAGAGTGGGTCGAAAAAGTGGTTCAAAAAGCTAAAACTCGGACTGATTTAATACACAGTTCGCTCGAGCGTGGAACGCTCCGCTCGAGTGTCAGACACAAACTCACTCTCGAGCGTCAAAAGTGTCGCTCGAGCGCCGGATGCACACATTCAGAAGTTCTGCAAACGAAGGTCCCCGCTCGAGCGTGAAAGTGGACGCTCGAGCGTCCGACGACCTGCAGGGAAAAATACTGAGGGTTGAATAATCACGCTCGAGCGTCAAAATGCCCGCTCGAGCGAAGGAACAAAAGCAAAGGGCCCGCTCGAGCGTCAAAAGCCCCACTCGAGCGTGAAGGCCAAAATCTGGGCATCAACTCTTGGTTTCCAAACACAGCCAACCTGTTTCAAACCTGCCCAACACAACCCAAGACTCAAATACAAGAGTAAAGAATGGGAACAAGTATAAGACAACAACCAACATCCACGGAGCCGAGTCCGGAATACAATTAAACAATGAAGAAAAAAGCGGGATCGTTATATATATGATACTAATATTTCACAATCAATTTTCCGTGTGGGACTCAAGTAGAGTAGTAACACACAATCACCACCTCCTCACGAGACCAATGTGAAGCTCAAAGATGGCTTAACTATTAGGTCATTAAGCCCATCACCTGAGGCTTCCATTTTTTTTTATTAAATCTTATTGTAGAAGGTATTAAATTTTCACAGAAGCCTCATTTTAATGTTTAGCTTAAAAGCTCACAAAATCTTAAGTCGCTATTGATGGAGCTCTAATGCTATTTGTCGCGATCCAAGTAGTTTTATTTTTTTGAATGGAGTTGGTCTACCAACATTACTATAAAATTTAAACCCAAATTACTTGGTTGATGTAGGATATACTACAATAATATTTCATATTTTGATCATATCACAAGCCACTTACCAAAAATGTTTATTTATTTTTATTTTCAAAATATTTTTCTATACCAAACAAATTTTAGTTTTTGTTTCTTATCAAAAAAAATATATATATATATATAATGATAATATTAAAAATAAAAATTTGTTTCCTAGAAATTGACAACGCTAAATTTCTAATGTTTTTTCGCATTGAGATTGGCTTGTCTCTAGTCCTTCATCGGATTGAAGAGGTACTATTGGGTTTATTCGGCTCACTTTTGGACCCCGTTTTGATAATTCGAACCGTTATACTCTAGGATTCGTCGAATATATCATCCTTGCAAAAAATCAAATCAATTGGATAACGACAACTACGTGTTCAGATTAATTTTGTATGAAAAAATGGACGGTGAAAAAATAAACGGTTCATACAAAGTTAATCCAAGCACGTGATTGTTGTTATCCGATCGATTTAATTTTTTGTACGAATAATATACTCAATGAACTCTAAAATGTGAATAGTTCGAATCATCGAAATGAGATCCAAAAGTGAGTCCACTTAGCCTAAAAGTATCTCTCCAATTCCATAGAAGATTGGAGAGCAAATCTCTTTTGCATTTAAAGTTTTAAATTGACAACGTTCGTTTGATGGGAAACACTATGGTGCACATGCATCTTATAACTAAAAAGAGAAATGATATAATTTCAATTTTTTAAGCTATAACTAAAAAAAAGAAAAAATGTCATAATTAAGTCCAACATGAGACATAACTAAATAACTAATGAGTCGTAACTAAATAATGTCATAACTAAAGAAAAAAAAAATAGTCATAACTAAAGAAGAAAATGATATAATTAAAAATGCATATGGTACACTTTTTTCAAAAGGGTGCTTATCAACCCTTGTCAATTGCTTATTTATTTTTCTTGTCACACAGTTATGGCTCCTCGCACTAAAAAACCTCAAGCTAGAGAGGAAGGTCAGTCTTCACGACCTACATGTGAATATCCAACTCCTGACTTCCTTACCCCCGTCAGGGAGTAAGCTTTTGGCTCCATGGCATCCCGCTCCATCATTACCGGTCGCCGAGTTAGTCTTGCCCCACAACATGATGCTCTTTTAATGACTAAACTTGAACAAATGGGCTGGCAAAATTTGGTCAATTTATCGAAAAAGGTATATCCTCGTCTCCTCGCTTTATTTTATATCCACCTACAATCTTCTGGTATCGACGAGGAAATTTACACAAGCAACTCCTATGTGAAAGACACTTATATTGAGTTTAATGTTAACACTTTGGCCACTATTCTCAATGTTGACACTAGTCCTCACCAAGTATGTTTCCAAACTGAGGCACAAATAACTCAAATTGTGGGTAACATAACTAAAGTCTATACAACCATTTTTCTTAACAAAACCACCGGGTCCCATCTTCAAGCCAAACACCTTAAACCCCATCTCCGCATTCTTCACCACTTCTTATTAGAAAATGTCACTCCAAAAGCCGGTCATTATGATGTTGTTCCTACTTTTAATGCTTATCCACTTTATTGCTTTGAGATTGGGTACCCTTTTGATTTATGCTACATCATCATGAGGGAAATGGACCTTGTGTCTACATCACGTGACAAATCATTAGCCTTTGGTGCTTTATTGACCAAGCTCTTTAAACACGTCAAAGTCAAATTTTCTAAAGAGCCCGAAATGCCTATTGCCTCCGATATCAGTGAATACACCATCACCCGTGCTGGAGGAGGTGATGTTCTGTTAGCCAGTATGGCTGCTCTTGACATCCTATGGAGGAGTCTCAAGATCCTCCTCCCGTTGCTATGCCACCACCTCACCAACCGCCTCCTGCTTATTAAACGAATTTCTTAGCTTTGGAACAAGACCACTACAACCAACGCCTTGTCTGGGAACAGCAAATGATTCATCAATTTGGTGCCCTCAACACTCGTGTTGATCATCTTGAGGCAAGCGTTGATGCCATTTATCACTATCACTTTCCTCTTCCACCTCCAGATTCTGAGCAGTGATTTCCTTTTGATAATGTCACAAGGGGAGAAACTGTGGTGATGTTTTATATTGTGGTATTATGGTATTATTATTATTATTTTTGTTTCAAACTGATGTAGACCATCGTGTTTTTATACTGATGAAGTGTGGTTTTTAGGCAGGCTCGGTTTCATTTTTCTACTTCATTTTTCCATCTTCCGGGTCTCCGTTAGCATGGTTTTCACATATATTTAATGTTCATATGCATTGCACGGGCATTACGGGCATTAAAAGAGAATAAAGAACAATTAAGCTAACCAATCAAACAAGTAATGAGAACAACTAGTTGGTTGGATTGTGAATTGAACATGTTATGCTTGTATGTGTCTATGTGGGTCAAACATTGCGTTCCAACCACATGTTCCGCGGAGCCAACTGTGAGTAGCAACCTTGTAACGATATGTTTGAATTATAAGTATTTTCAGCTTATAAAATGCTTTGTTTCTGAAATGCTATTTTTTGATTGCTTGAATCATGGTCCTGTTTTATGAATTGTATTCGTGGCATCCTTAGCATCTATTACTGCTACTGTTTCAGAGATCACTGTCAGTTCCAATTCTTGAAACTTCTATTTACTGTATTGATGGCAATCATATATGTCTATTCGGTCCTCATGACCGTCTATACTGTTCTGCTATTGGATGCACCACGTATAAACTTTTGTATGAAATATATATTTGATAAGCCTATGATTCCGATTTTCTGTTACTGGGGTAATTATTCAATTTGACTTACTATAAGGACATCATTCATAACCTTTTTACACTGTTGTTATTCACTGCTCTTGCTCATCTTTTAATTTATATAAATGTAGGTGATCTAGTGCAGGAAGGGACATAGTGGCGTCGACCTTGCCTCAGTTTTGTTGAGCTGGCTTTTGTGCCTCACGGTGAGGTTCCCATTTGTCGAGGCTTTTGGGTGGCCCCGAGATCACCATTTTGGCCGTCACTCATATGTTATGAATGGTTTTACTTTGATTGTGTATCTGTTAATGATGGGAATGTAATGCCTCTTTTGTTTGTTTTTTGGCAAACTTGTTATGCTTTGATGTATATATGTGTATATATAAAAGTTCATTTTGTCTCATGTAAGTCTTCACAGCTCGTTGGACATTTTATTTTCTTATGTATTAGCTTCCGTTAGCCTCGATTATTTGATTTGTATAAGAAGGCCTTTGGTAATCGTGGATTACTGGCCGGTTACGACACTAAACCTATAGGGACGGGTTTGGGTTGTGATAGAGTGGTACTAGAGCACGAGTTATACCGCGCACACACACACGTCCAAATGAGCTATAGAATGTCATAGAAAAGAAATTAAGGCTTTTTACTTGCATATGTGAGTGTGTGTGGGTTTCTTATGTGCCTATGTGATGAATATGGAAATGTGAAACCTATGTGTCCTATGTTTGTTATCATTTTGTTTACATATACACCAATGGAGAACGCAAGATCTACAGATGCATTTGAAACTTCTGATGCTAGAATGGATCGATTAGAAAGAATGGTAGAACTATTGACAGAAACTTTGAGAGAACAAGAGACAACCATTCCCACCTTCCCCTCCGCCACCAATTCTTGTTAAGCCACCTAACAATGGTGATATTATCGCCTTGATGCAGAAGTTTAACAAAATGAAACCACCTACATTTCAAGGGGAGCTTGAACCACTAAAGGCTGAAGCATGGATCTTAGAGATTGAAAAGCTGTTTGAAGTTTTTCCATGTTCTGAAGAGCAAAAGGTTTTGCTGGCAACTTTCACCTTGCAAGAAAAAGCTAGAATGTGGTGGATGCTTATCCGTGATCAGAATACTACTATGACTTCGGCACAGTTTAAAGAGGTATTCTATGAAAAATATTTCCCATAGTGTGTAAAAGACCATAAAGTAACAAAATTTGAGTAGTTAAAGTTGGGTACTATGTCAGTAGCGAAGTACGAAGCCAAATTCACCGAGTTTGCACGGTATGTGCCACACATGGTAGATACCGATTACAAAAAAGCTAGGAAATTTGAAGGTGGACTTGATGTTGAGGTCCTTGACTGGATCAATGTACTAAAGTTGGTAAAATATGTTGATGTCCTAGATAGGGCCCTTATGACTGAGGCGAATATTGCTACACTAAAACAAGTGAAGACACTGGTGACCGAATGGAAGGGTAAGATACAGAGATTGAACTTTAAGAAGGGCCGAAACAACTCAAACATTTCATAGAACAAGAGACAGAATACGGGATCAACAAATAGCTCTAGCCAAAGGAATGATACACCCCTCTGCCTGGAATGTGGAAAATGACATAAAGAGTTTGCCGCTGAATTTCTGGCACATGTTTCCGGTGCGGCAAAACAGGCCACATGATTAAGGATTGCCCATTGGTATCCCAAAGCACGATTCGACCTATGGCAAGTTCAGTCGTATCAACTTCAACACCAAGGGCTAATTTGAAAGCGACTGCAGGGAAAGAAACTTTGAAGCAAAGACGGGTTTTTGCGTTAGTACCGGGTGATGTGCAGAATACAGAGACAGTTTTGTCAGGTATCCTTCCTATCTGTTCCTAGAATGCTTATGTGTTGATTGACTCGGGGTCTACACACTCTTTTGTGTCCTATGCTTTTGCTCTAAAATTAACTAGACCCTTGGAACCAAAGAATTATCTGTTAGCTGTATCGTCTCCAACTGGGGGTCTATGACTTGTGCGTGTATGTATCTTGTATGTGAGATTATCGTTGGGGACATGATTTTGTATGTTGATTTGTTACCTTTAAAGATATCACATTTTGACGTAATCTTGGGGATGGACTGGTTAGCGAAATGTTGTGCTACCATTGACTGTTTGACTAAACAAGTTGTGTTTCAACTTCTTGATGTACCTGAATTTTCATTTAACGAAATTGGTTTCATATCTCCCCCATATTTGATTTCCTCAATGAAAGCAAATAGGTTGATTAACAAAGATTGTAAGGGCTTTTTATGCTCTGTAGTAATTGTGTCATCTGCTGCTAAACCTAATATGGATAGCATTCCTATAGTCAGAGACTTCCCAGATGTTTTTCTAGATGATTTTCTGGGGAATTTGATTGACAGAGAAATTAAATTCACTATCGAGATAGTGCTGGGGGCATAACAATTTCCAAAACCCCATACCGGATGTTGATTACTGAATTGAAAGAGTTGAAAAGTCAAGTTACAAGAGTTACTGGACAAGAAATTTATCAGGCCTAGTACGTCATTGTGGGGTGCTCAAGTGTCATTTTTGAAAAAGAATGATGGGTCCTTAAGGCTTTGTATTGATTACCGGGAGTTAAACAAGGTGACAATGAAGAACAAGTACCCACTACCTCGCATGGATGATTTGTTTGATTAACTGCAAGGGGCGCAAGTGTTTTCAAAAATTGATCTTTGATCTGGATATCGTCAATTAAAAGTTAAAGCCGAGGACGTGGAAAAGAATGCCTTCTGAATAAGGTATGGACACTTTGAATTCCTTGTTATACCTTTCGGGGTTACTAGCGCACCAGCTGCTTTTATGGATCTAATGAACAGAATTTTCAAGCCGTTCCTAGATGAATATGTTGTGGTTTTTATTGATGACATTTTAATTTATTCCAAAAGTAGAGAGGAACATGAACATCACTTAAGACTTGCTTTACAAAGGTTGGGGGAGAAGAAACTGTATGCTAAATTATGTAAGTGTGAGTTTTGGCTGGATAGTGTGATGTTCTTCGGACATGTGATAACGAAAGATGGCATTTCTGTTGATCCATAAAAGATAAAGACAGCTATAAATTGACCTAGACCAACAAATGTTCTAAAGTTCGCAGTTTCTTGGGTTTGGCGGGGTACTATCGTAGATTTGTGAAAGACTTCTCTAAAATTGCCTTGCCACTTACACAGTTGACGCAAAAGGGGGTACCATTCGAATGGACTAAACAGAGAGAGTCAGCTTTTCAAGAATTGAAGACTCGACTTGTGGCCGCACTGATTCTCACCTTACCTTCAGGTACGGATGGCTTTACTATTTTCAGTGATGCATCTTATAAAGGTTTGGGGTGTGTGTTGATGCAGAATAGAAAAGTAATTACATATGCTTTCCGTCAATTAAGACCGCATGAAAAGAATTACCCAACTCATGATTTGGAACTTGCCGCTATAGTTTTTGCATTAAAAATTTAGCTCCACTATCTATATGGGGCAACATGTAAGGTGTATACAGATCACAAGAGTCTCAAGTACTTCTTTACCGAAAAAGAGCTGAACATGAGACAACGTAGGTGGTTGGAGTTGATTAAGGACTATGATTTGCAAATTTTGTACCATCCGAGAAGGCTAACACCGTTGTTGATGCCCTCAGTCGAAAATAAATTGGAACCTTGGCTTGCTTTCTTACCAGACAAAAGACATTAATACATGAAGCGGAAAAATTTGAACTTGATATTGTTTTACGTGAACAAGGCGGGGTTTTAGCTGCTATTTCTGTACAATCAGCAATCCTTGAAGAAATTAAAGAAAAACAATTGTAAGATGAATTCCTGAAGAAAATTGTGGACAAACGGGATTTCAAACCAAGATCGGGTTTCATTTTTTAGAATGATATGCTCAAATTTCAGAGAAGGTTGTGTGTACCAAATGATAGTGACTTGAAGAAGTGGATTCTGCAAGAAGCTCACAGTTCAAAATTCTCAATCCATCCGGGAAATACAAAAATGTACTAAGACTTAAAGAAAAATTTCTGGTGGCCGGGAATGAAAAGAGAAACTGCTGAGTTCGTGTCCAAATATTTACACTGCCAACAAGTTAAAGCAGAACATCAACGACCCTTGAGATTACTTCAATCGTTACCAATACCGGAGTGGAAATGGGAACACATCACAATGGACTTTGTGGTTGGATTACCTCGCTCTAGTAAATGTATGGATTCAATTTGGGTAATTGTTGACCGATTGACAAAACTTGCTCATTTCTTACCTTACAAAGCAATTTATAATGTGGATAAGTTGGATATATTGTATATTAATGAAATTGTGAAATTACATGGAGTGTCTATATCAATTGTATCTGATAGGGATCTGAAGTTTACTTTGAGGTTTTGGTAAAGTCTATAAAGGCATTAGGGACCAAATTAAGACTGAGCAGTGCATCCTATTCGCAAACAGATGGCCAATCAGAAAGGACAATACAGACGTTGAAGGATATGTTACGTATGTGTGTATTGGACTTTTTGGGGAGTTAAGAGACTTATCTGCCTTTAGTTGAATTTGTATACAACAATAGCTTTCATTCAAGCATTGGCATGGCACCATACGAGGCTTTATATGGCCGAAAATGTCGATCACCGATTTGTTGGGCTGAGGTTGGAGATAGACCTTTGTTGGGACCTAAAATTGTGCAAGAAACCATTGAGAAAGTGAAGTTGATCCAGCAACGGTTAAAAGCAGCGCAAAATTGATAGCAAAGCTACGCGAATTTGCGTAGACAGGAGAGAGAATATGAAGTGGGCAACCATGTCTTTATCAAAGTCACTCCGATGAAATAGCAAACTCGTTTTGGAGCCAAGGGCAAGTTAGCACCTTGGTGTATCAGACCATATAAGATCATTGAGAAAATTAATCCAGTGGCACATCGAGTAGCCCTACCTTCTAATATAAAACACATGCATAATGTTTTTGATGTTTCCATGTTGAGGGAATATCTTCAGGATCCTCTACATGTCATTGAGCCTACTCAGGTACTTATAAATGATGACTATACATATAACGAATAGCCCATTCGGATTGTGAACCACCGTATCAAGAAGTTGAGAAATAAAGAAATTCCGTTGGTCAAAGTGGATTGCCAAAACCACAGTGGAAGCTATGCAACTTGGGAAAGAGAAGAAGATATGCAGAAGAAATACCCTAAGCTTTTCCCATTAGACCCTACACTTCTCACGAAAGAAGGTAATTGAGTTTGGAGGACCAAACATTTTAAGAGGGAGAGACTGTAACAGTCGCCCCCCTTAATTAGCTATTAATTCTGTGGTTTACCTTAATTATGTGTTTATATGTGAGTTATATACTTATATATGTGTTAAGTATATGCCATGTGCTATTTGAATTATGTTTTGATTGACAGGTAGGTTAGAATGTGAAAAGAAATCTCTGAATCGTTAAACCATAAGCTTAAAATTGAATGTTGGCCTAGGAGATTAGAGCCTAATTCACCCTCATGATTTAAGTTGGGTTGAGCTAGATTACGCTATAATGAGGATTAATCTAATTTAAGTTTTACACTAATTCAAAATGATTAAGACAAATTAAAGATAGATTTTTTTTATATGTTTAAACTCAAGTGAGAAGGAGAGAGATATAATCCGAGAAAGAGAAAGCATTCTAGAGACTTAGAGAATAAAGAGGAAAAGAGGAGAAGGAAAGGGGAAAGAAGGGAGATTGGAGCAACTTCACCAAATCAACCATAGAAGGTAAGAAATTTTCTCTAGAATGTTAAACTTGAGTAAAATTACACATGAGAATGGAGAGTTTGAGTTAAAGTAGGGAATAGAGTAGTATATGTCAAGTTATAAACCCTAAAGAGGGAAATTTTAGGAAATAGCTTAAAACCTTGTCACACATGACATCTTTCATAATTATTCACTTGTTCTTGCATGAGTTTGAAGTTGATGAATGAATTTCATGGATTTTTGAAACATAGGACTCCCATATGCATAACTCTTGTTTGTCCTCCTCTATTTCAAGTTTTGATTTTATGAATGGAAAATTGAGATTAGGTTGAAAGTTATGATTTTGGTTTGAACTTAGAATCTGCTCATTCACCATGTTTTAGTAAGTTTTGGGCCTTTGATTTGTCCAAAAATGGAGTTGGTTTTTGGAAGGATTGGAGTTCAAAAACATAGTAGATTTTTGGTTCTGAAACACACAGAATTGCACGTGCGGAAAACATAACCACACGTGTGACGGAGAGGACCACATGTGCGAAAAACAGGTCAGAGGAGGCCGCACATTCTGAAATAATTGCATGTGCCAGTGCACGTGTGGTGGGAGTTTCACACATGCAGCCAGGGCACACCGTACGTGCGATTTTTAGGCAGGCATAGCTTCATTTTTTCGTCTTCTGAGCCTCCGTTAGCATGGTTTTCACATATATTTGGCGTTCATATGCATTGCATGGGCATTAAAAGAGAATACAAAACAATTAAGCTAACCACTCAAACAAGTAAT